TATGTTTTTGGCCCTTCATCTTTTTGCTGAAAGTGATGCGTGCCAAGTTTCCCTTTCCCTCATCTCTAATCGCTATGGGTTTTTAATTTGTTGTTGCACGATCGTTCAAATTAATTTCTCTGTTTGCATCAATCTTTTGAAAAAGTAAAATTCCAAATCTTTAAACCTCACTATCTATTTGTTAATTACTTCTTAAGGAATGAATAAAACTTGATTATTTTATTTTTATTTTCTTAATATATATCGACAGGCTCACGATAAGTGGAGAATTATTGATGCTCACAGTCTCTTTTTATGTGTTGCACTCGATCGACCATATTATTTTTGTGCATTAAGTACATACAAAGATTAACAAAGCATAAAAATGGTTGAAAATCGTTGCCCTAAGCAGAGATGCCAATGGTTAGTTACTTGTATGCATGTTTGGTTTATGCATAAACATTATAGATTTGGTCCTTAATCTTCACATGCATATAACTGAAAATTACCCATGAGCAGTAAAGTGCATGGATATGGCTTTTTGTATTTTATAAATGTTGAAAACTGAAATAGAAAGGAACGAAGTTACTCGAAAAATGTAGAAGCCTTGAGTGGTGAATGATTCTTGAGATGAGTCGCGGACTAAGTCGCTCTCTTTAAGATGTTTCACGGCTCTGCCCAAAGTGTGCAAGCAGTTTCACAAACACCACGTCGTCCCTAGGATAAAATAGCCCAGAACCTTCTTCTTCTGATAAGATTCTTCCTTGCACACCAGAAGAACTTTCAAACTTACACCTTTCCAATATATTGCTTTTTAAATCAATATATGTAAAACTTTTTTTTTTCTCTTATCTATTTGTTCTTACCATGCGTCTAACTAATACACACACACACATATATATATAAAGAAATAGACGTTGGAGGGTGTGAAATCGTAAGAAATCAAGGGACTTTATGGGAATGAAACCGTAGGGAAACAAGAGAGTTTATGGGGGTGCAAAATGGTCTGCGATCAAAGGAGTTATTAGTGGTGCACTGCTGTAGGAAATCAAAACAGACAAAAGATAAAAACCACAGTGGAACAATCAAAACGTAATTTAAATTCAAACCGGAAATAAAACAAAACGGTTTGATTGCATAACTCCTTAAGCCAAAATCAATTGACTTTTAATATTGGTAATAAAGCAAAGTGTTATGTATATAATATTGGCAGTAAAAAAAAACATAAATATATTTAAATAAAAACATATTTACTTCAACAATCCCCCACTTGTTTTTGTTTAAAGCTATATATCAAGCAACATATCATAAAGCTATGCATAAGCAAAGGTGTTTCTCAACTTGAACCTGTACACAGTGTTAGTGATCTAGTTTATACTAGAGTAACTTATAGTTTTGAACTCTATCTCTGACAACACCACACACATAACTTTATTAAGGTGAAGTTCAAAAAGCCAGCACATTACGGCCATGTGCTTGTATCCCAATATAGTGAACGCTCTAGAAACTCGCCCAAGATTTAATAGGAAGTGGCCTCACTTCCACATTCACATAGGTAAGACTATCAAGGATATTCCTGTAGCTAGATATCCCACTCAACATAGAGTATAGACCTTACTAAGAGAAAAAAAATCTCAACCTAAAAACGCTTCAGGATGTCTAGGGATGGACATGGAATAATATTCCAAATTAAAATTATCAAGATTTCACTTATATCACTTGTGACTTGTTATTACCCTTTGAACCTATTTCTTGGGATCTCCACTAAATAGGTTGGGTTGCTATCACAAATGACTCAATTTTCTAAGGGCTTTAGTCCCATCCCTTTCTAGGTTTTCCAAACCTTTTCTCGTGCTAGTCCTTTCGTCAAAGGATCAGCCAAGTTTTCTTCAGACCGTATATGATCCACTCTTACAGCTCCATAAGAGATTACGATGTGCTATCATAATGGATCAAAACTGCTGGAATCGATTTCTCCCATAAAGGGGTATCTAACAGCAGGTTCATAAATTTTAGAAGAATTGGAACCCCCAATATTTCGAAGATTAAAGGAAATCTATTCTCATAAAAATCAGCATCAAGTGACTCAATTATGACATTTTAATAGTATCAACATTCAATTTAAACATTCCATCAATAGCATATCCCTTTCCCACAAAAACCCTATTTTTAGTAAGAGTATACGTATCTGCTCCAATGGTTGAGTAAATCCAAGAAAGCCCGAGACCAAATTCTTCCTTATCGCTGGAGCGTGCATCACATCTTTAAGTATCATGGTTTTTCCAGAGGTGAACCTCAGCTGCACCTTTCCAGTACCAGCAACATTAGTTGAGTGTGAATCACCCAACAACACCTTCCTTCCCTCAACCATAGAATAGGTCTTGAAAAGGGAATGATCATAGCAAACATGGTGAGAAGCGCCAATGTCCACCCACCACCCCTCGGATCCATCAGCAAAGTTGATTACTGATATCATTGCAATCAATTGCTCTTCAACAAGATTTGCTTGAGAAGCAGAGTTTTCGTTATAATGCATGGTAGATTGAATTTGTCTTAAAATTGTTGAAAACTAAAATAGAAAGGAACGAAGTTACCTGAAAAATGTAGAAGCCTTGAGTGGTGAATGATTCTTGGGATGAGTCGCGGACTAAGTCGCTTTCTTTAAGATGTTTCACGGCTCTACCCAAAGTGTGCAAGCAGTTTCACAACACACCACGTCGTCCCCATGATAAAACAGCCCAAAACCTTCTTATTCTGATAAGATTCTTCCTTGCACACCGGAAGAACCTTCGAACTTACACCTTTTTGATATGTTGCTTTTTAAATCAATATATGTAAAACTTTTTTTTTTCTCTTATCTTTTTGTTCTTACCATGCGTCTCACACACACACACACACACACACACTGGTGGAGCTACACCCACAGCTACAGTGGGCTGTAGCCCAGGGAGGATTTTAACAAATTGCAGCTATAATAGTTTATATATGAGGTTGTTGCTTATTGTAAGTATAATAGCCCACCCAAATCCTGTCAAACCTAATAGTTAATGTGTTTCTTAATTTATAAATAATACTCTTTTTTTTTTTTTGTCAAATAATACTTTTATTACCTTATATATTATTTTTAGGCTAAAAGTAAAAATAGTAAATTAATACATAATTAGGTTTCTCCTACTCTCCATGCTTTTTACCCCATTCGTTCAAAACAAAAAAAATCCTCTACCCTACTCCACAAAGCTGCGTTGCTTTCCCAAGAAAAGAAAAACTATGAATCACCATCAAATTATTTTCTAATGAAATTCAACACCAAGTATGTTCTTCATCTCTTCATTAACTTATTTCTTGACTCAATTGTTAGGTTAATTTTTTTTTTTTTTTTTAGTCCTTGAATTTGTCTATTAAGGTCAAGGATTTTGGGAATAGCCCATGTTTCATGGTTCTTGTATTTGTAACTAATAAAAAGGGTTCGACAACAATATCAATTCTGATAATAACAAAAGATTTCAATTCCATTACAGGGGCACAACTTGAATTGGTATCCCCTCACCTTTTTTTTCTTTTGGGTACTTGTTATCAACAAAAGTGATAATATTTGTTCTCTTTCTATTGCTTTTTTGTATGCATGTTTTATTTGTGTAAAAATTAGTTGGAAAGTAATTAATAAACTCATTTGGATTAGTACTTCATGTTCTTACTTTTATGTAGATTATTATATAATTTTATGTAGGTAAAAGAAATATCATATGATTACATGCTAATAATTTTAGCTAGCCCACCCAAGAAAAATTTTCTGGCTCCGCTATTGTGTGTGTGTAAAGAAATAGATGTTGGAGGGTGTGAAACCGTAAGAAATCAAGGGACTTTATGGGAATGCAAAACCGTAGGGAACCAAGAGAGTTTATGGGGGTGCAAAATCATCTGTGATCAAAGGAGTTATTAGTGGTGCACTGCTGTAGGAAATCAAAATAGACAAAAGATAAAAACCACATCGGGACAATCAAAACGTAATTTAAATTCAAACCGGAAATAAAACAAAACGGTTTGATTGCATAACTCCTTAAGCAAAAATCAATTGACTGTTAATATTGGTAATAAAGCAAAATGTTATGTATATAATATTGACAGTAAAACAAAACATAAATATATTTAAATATTTAAATAAAAACATATTTACTTCAACAATAAAGACACAAATTAGATTCTTTTCTCTATCATTTCCTAAGTACTTCAAGAACCCAAATTAATAATGAATTTGGAACTATGGTAGGTGGTTTAATCTAGTTTATGATCCCAGACACTGTGTATTAATTCAGATGCAACCTTAACCAAAGATCGGATCATGGCTAGCTGTCAAAAGACTCAAAACCTGAATAATTAAATAGAATTGGTCTCCACATTATTAAAAAGAAAATTTTAAAAACTTTTTCCTTCCACTTTTTATGGAAAAATAGTTTATGTGGTATGATATTCAGATATTGTTATCTGCATTTTTGTACTATCATAAAAACTCGAATGCAACCCTGGACTAGTTGTTTTTTGGTTCGGAGATAATAATCAAACATGGATCGAATTATTTGAACAAAGGGAAAAAAAATTATATTAAGATTGGTGTTGTTCTGGGAAAGAAGCACCAGCTTTTGATCCATCAATATATTTTATACAAATCTTTGGTGTTCTGTAAGACTTTGTCTGGAATATCTTGTTCACTGGCCTACCTTGGCCCATGTAATAGGATTTTCATTTGGTTTTTATCATATATGACTCTTCTCTGGACCCTACAAATTTGATATGCTTCCACGTTACAATTCAAATAGAGAACAGTTATTAGCACTTCAAAAATCTCATTTGTCGCTTCTTACAAGTGTATTTTTCTTTTTAAATATAGAAAATTTAGAATGTCAAATGAGATTTTTGGAGTGACAATAATAATTCCCTTAAAATATATATCAACGTAAAATACATAATCAAACAATACTATGTATGAATAATATTTAACAAAAATTTAACTCTCTCTCTCTCTCTCTCTCTCTCTCTCTCTCTGTAGATATGAATATTGTGTACACCAAGACATTGGTATATTAGTTTACCTTCTTTTGCCATGCCTCCTAACTTCACAACCTGTCAATCCTGAATTATTAACATGACCAAGAACATGATTAAGGATTGGTTAATTTAGTGAGAGGAGTGAGGAAGGGTGAGGTTTATTGCTTTGTTGTTTCTCTAAATCTAGTGGGGAGCTTGGAAATTAATATTGGCCTGCCTTGCCCTGCCAAAGAGATTTGCTGGTGTAGAGTGGTCCAAGAATCTTCACCCAATTCACACAGGAGGAGGGGGAGGGCTTAACTATTGCTAGCTGCACTCCTTAGATTGCTCTGTTCACTCAACTCCGATTAGTATGGATGATCAAATGACTGATGATATTGATGGATGCTTATCTTAATTCTCTACTAATTGCGTTGTTTTGGCTTACCAGTATCATAGTACGATTGGCATGAAGAAGCAAACCTTTCAATGATACTCACACTAGACGACCTCCACTTCTGCTCCTTCTTTTTCAGGTACTAAATATAACTCAACTATGTATGCTTAGCAAGCCTAGATGTTGATGCTCTTGCTTTTCTTTTTCTTCTTTTTAAAATTATCCAATTTTGGAAGTTTTGGTCTTCTGGGAAATCATAATTCTTGAAATTTAATAGTTGGTTTCGAGTATCAGTACAGATATAGTCTCTATATCTATATATGCCAAATCAGATAAAGGTGAAAGAGATCCTTTTTTATTTTCCATACAAATTCAACAGTTCTTAATTGTAAATTGCAATAGATCCTTTTTAGTTTCTATTTCATGCAATATTTACCTTGGTTTTGTTTATGCTGTCAAAATCTTGTTATCTGATTACATACTACTGTAGATTTAGCATATATATAGAGTCTTTAGCTTCAAAAGAAACAGGAAGAGGTGGGCACTTGTGGAGAGCAAATTCACAAAAATGAAGGCTACTGATGACACCAGCAGAAATATTGTACTAACAAAGAAAAAATAGAGTAGACAACCCACATTCCATATCAGGTCTCACTATTTGCCGGCACCCCACCTTTCCTTTTTCATCCTTTCTGTGTCTGGTAACTTTCGGATTACGCACTTTCGGAGCCGCTGTGACAATTCTGGGCCATTCTTTTGTGTTCATCCTTCATCCAACACCTTAAAATGTCCCTTTCATGATATATTGTTTCATGTAGGGAACTAGAGTCCTATTCCCAAATGATACTTGAATTTGTACACCAAAAAGGGGGACATGGATCTATGCATTCTAATCCTAAGGATCCACCAATCCAAGCTATTGAAATTTGATCCAATGGCTAAAGTTAATATAACTTTTAAAGTGAGCTCCTGTTTTTAACCTTTAGGTCAAATTTTAATGGTCCAGATTGATAGATTCCTAAGATTAGAATGCGTGAATCTGGAGATCTCTGTTCCAAAAAGGGAACCAATAAAATCATGGAGCACAAATATAGTATATAAAGCCATCTGTCAGTGAATTTTGAGAGATAGATTTCCACTACCTTGATGGGTTAGATTAGCTCACTTGCATGTGGGATTGAGGATAATTCAAAAATAAAATAATCACACCAATTCAATTATTCCTTGGTATTCAGATGTGGTAGGATAATTGTAGACCTGGTGTCCAACTAGACTGTGTTTCCACCATCAGTCAGTGGGTTTGTACATCACACCAACTCCACTCAAGTCCGAAAAAGTACTTTTTTTTTTCTTTCTAAATTTTGATTTTTTACTGTTCATTATACTCGAACTTTAATCCTATAAGAACTGTTTGGAAAAAAAGAATTACTGTGGCAGATCTCATAATACAATAGCAACAGTTCTGTGTGTTTCCTCAAAATATACGTTTCTCTGTAGTTACCAACATTTTTTAACTGGTATATTACTTCAGGAATGGGAACAAAAATTGAATATATGATCAATATATTAGGAAGCTCACAAAATAGCAGCAGCTTAAAGGTGCATCGGGTGGATGACTGGGACTATTTTCAGAAAACTGGGCTGAAGGAGAAGTATCAGAAGGCTAGAGTTGAGGACGCACTTTGGAACTTGACGGAGAAGAAGATGCTTGACAAGCACAGCATGGATACCATCAAGAAGACAATGCAGATGCATGAATCTACCTTTAAACACCAGGTATGATCAACTTTAATGCATGTATGAGCTCGAATTGTAGTCGATCATGTTCCATGAAGCATGAGTTCTTTTGGTTTCATGGAAATCCACTATATTCAGCTTGGGGGATTTGATTTTGTAGCCTAGTCAGTCACCAACATCCAACAATACCTTTCTGGATAAGCAAACCGGTCAAAATACTCCAAGAAAAAAAATTTAATTACAGCCTTTTTGCCTATTAGATCCTAAGTCTTATACTTGTCTGATCAGATCCTAAGTCCTAACCAAAAACCAAAATTGCAGATTCGAGAGCTACACCGTCTGTACAGTGTACAAAAGATGCTAATGGAAGAACTGAAGAAAGAGAATAAACAAAATAGACTTTGGGGTCCAATAACTAGTAGTGCAGATCACAGTAACCAATCCCAGTTGATTAACTGGCAGCACTCGATAACTCAAACTTCTTCTGGATATAATTTCCACCTTCAGAGATTGAGGGATGATCCAAACTCTAGAGAGCGCAGTGGAAGTTGCTCAGGAGACATTCAGAGAGTGTCAAGGGGATTTGACCTTGAATGGCCTGCCGAGGAAGACATCTCAACAAGAGTCAGTACAATTGACAAAGAACAAGCAGGACCAAGCTCTCACATGTCCCTCAAAAGTATAAGTGCAGCTGGTTGTGATGAAGATAGTGAAGTGGAGCTTTCATTAAGCATCGGAAGTAACAAGAACAGGAAGATATCGAGACCTTACCAGCCTCAGTTAGGATGTTCGGAACTGATCCAGAAAGCAAAAGAACTCGATATGCGGGCCTCATTCAAATCAGATAGAGGAGGAGATTGCAGTTATCCGACAACTCCCATGAGCAGCTCTAGTGCAACATGTGATCAAGAAAGAAAGCAGCCACGTTGGCTCGTCCATGGTTTAAAGCTCAAATAGGACTAATACTTCAGCTTTCGTGGATGTTTCTTCGAAAATCTACATGCTGTTCATTAGTGAAATTCTAATAAAAGTTGTCACTTTAATAACTAGACAATCGAGAAACTGTTGTCATCATGCATAACATTGGTATATATAAGAAATTTTCGAACGTTGGTTGCTCCATATTTCAGTGCATTGGTTCATTATTTTCGTTGGCATTTGACTGAATTTGAAGTTTTAATTTGAAGCGTAAGAAAGTACGTGATCATTATGACTAACTCATGCAAGAACTATTGAAAGTTTACTGTAGTTATTTTCGAAAGAGATGCATCACAGATAAGACAACAAGAAAATTGTAAATTACAATGGTTAAATACTAATGCACAAAGATTCTTGCAATCTCAATTTTCGGTAAATACATGGACAAATTAAGAGTACGTTGAACTCAAATTTGTCACCAGGTATTTGTCGATTGCTAATGCATGTAATGCATTGCTTTGTTGTTGCTCTTATAGTTCCTTATCCATCATAAGATTCATAACCTCTGCATCCACCAAAAGACCGAGACAGGGAAGAAACTATATAAAAGCATGGTAGTACTGTTTGGACTTTGAATTTTATCTCCCAAATGACATTTTTATTTGAATTCCTTGTCTTAAACTGGCTCCTTGACCCCATTAACCATTCTTCTAATGAGAATCATAGGAGCGTGGTTGCCTATACTATTTCTTTGGAACCATTCGATACTGGTACCCTAATGACATGAAACATGAAACATGTGTTGCACATGTTTTTATTTTCATCTATAAAATTAAATAATAGAGGGCGTGCTTGGCCAAAGCTAGCGGATGGTTGCAGGTGCATAATTTCTCTATGGGAAACTCTTTTGAAACCAATATATTGTACACCATCCGTCCATTAGATAGTGAGAGTCTCTCGTATTGTTCATTGATTGTCTTTTTCTTTTTTTTTCCTGATATGGCTGCATTTTGGAATTCCTCTTTAGCATTTTCAATACCACAAAAATGATCTTCTTTGATATATGGTATGATTGAATTACACATAGTGCACGCAGTCTCAATCTTTCGTGCTGCCGTCCTAATCCGTCTTTCGGTTTTCAACTTCAAGCCGGATAGTCACCATTTAAAATATTAGGGTGCCGCAGGCCAAAGTGTTTTGCTTTGTTGTGCTTCCTCCGATCCTTCTTGTAACTCTTGAAAACAAAAAGAACAAGAAGATTTAATGTTGTTAGCAAATGCCACTGCAAGCTAGCTCGTTTGCGTCCAACTGCAAAATTCCAACCTAGTCATTTCCTTGAAAACAATTAAGCTCCACAACCTCGTGTACTTCTATAACAATTCCAAAAATATGTTACTTCCTTGGTCACATCTATCTATATCTCAGGCCTATTCTATCCAAGTTTAATACATTAGGTCCAGTTTCATATTCAGATGAGCTGTGAAATGTAGCATGCCTGATACTTGAGAAAATAAAAGGGAAAATTGACATGCAACACCTTTTGATATACTTAATTATTCAATCTCCATGGGCTTACCACCTGCTGCAAAGCTGCAAAGTGCATCCTAATATAAAATAAAGCACATAAGCAACAATTCGAACGTTTGTATTCACGTTTTCTAAGGTGCGGACAGCATTTTGCGGACGTTATGTGCGGACCAATTATGGGCCGTTGAATTTAATCTCAACGGTTGTAAACAAATCAATCAAATAGAGTTTATAGTGAAACTGTTCGTAATACTATACCTCTATGATTGTATTAATTGTTAGGCGAGGAATCCTATCCAATTTACTAGAAATAAAGGCACCAGACATGAGGAATAACGCACACATAATTCTCCAAGCCCTTCTCCGTCACTCTTTGCCGCACCTTCTCTCTCCGTTCAGTAAAATAGGCAACACCATTACCACTTACTGGGTAGTAACCCTGATTTTCATCTTTTTGAAAATTTAATTATATAACAAATATTCTAAAATGATTTTCCAACTTAAATGTTGTGTTCCTTCCAAGTGCAAATATAGTTTAATGGCACAAGTAAGAGTGTCGAACCACATGGACTAATTGGACCCCTATAAATTACTAGCTTTGAAAAATCCCTAACTAAACAACGAAAGTAACAGATTGAATGTAGTTTTTGTGCTGTAAATGAAAATAACTTGAAATGCAAGAACAATATAACAACTAATGATATGTTGATTGAGAAACAATGAGGATGGGACCAGAGATTTCACGTCCCCATTACAAAACCAATTCCATGTTTATAAGGTATTAAGCCATATTCAATTACCAACCTGTTTAAAAAGTTCGTTTTACATATATATGTATGATCAGCCATATGATGTGTGATTTGATCAAACTCTCCTAATCAACACCTAATTGGGATATGCAACTTTGGTTCCAAATTGAGAGACAATAGCATGCAAGAAAACGTCAAAGAACCAAAGAAAATACACAGCAAGATGTTTGCATAGCATTCTCCTCATTCATTCACATATCCACCAAGATTAAGAATGATGTATACTATAACCTTGATCAAATAATCTGTAAGCAACCCTAATGGTAATCAATCATTAAAATTAACAAAAAAAGTTAACAATAAATTCAGTGAATGAAACAACAGACATATTGATGAATTGAATACTTTAACTTAAAAACATGGACCAATTTTGCAAGGCTACATCGAAATCCCTAGCTATGAATTTAGTTACACATCATGTTTATAGAGATTAAATTGGAAATACACAACATGAGTGAAAATAAATTAAGGAGGGGAAACCCTTGAAGCAATTCTGATATTGAACTTCTCTAAGAACAATGAGTCGTCAGTAATGGCGGGAGTGTATGGAACAACTAGCATTTTGAGTGTGGATGAAAAGAGAGAAAAATAGTGGCTAAAAGACAAGTTTTTATGAGGTTAAAAAGGCTGTTACAGAATGCCAAGACATCCCAGTAATTGAGCATTTACTTTACACATTTTTTTTCTGTTATTGATCTTCTAAAGGGTCATGTTCATCACCATCTTCAATCTTCCACTTGTAATTCTCTCTCTACATCAACATCCTTATTCAATTCTCCACTTTTAGCACCCTTGTGCCTCATTTGCCCTCAAATGGACTCTAAAATATGATTAACTGCACACTAACCCAATAGAGGGTAGGTAATACATAACTAGTTTAACTTAAAAATATCACAAAGAGACTAAGAATATATGTATGAAATATGTAAGTTATCAATAAACAAAAAAAAAATAGAAAAAATTAGAAGAAAATAAATGTGGCACGGTCGTTAATGTGTGCTAAGGGCAAGTTTATACTAATGGGAAGCAAGAGAGTTCGAACATGGACACAATAGATAGAAAAGTAGGGCCCTAACAACAGGATAGTCCGCTACTTGCTAAACTAGACAAAATTGAGTAGGGAGACCAAATAGGTAAAGTCCTACTTTATTTTCTTTCCATAACCCACTAATCATAGTTGGATGAGTTTGATTTGATCTATCTACTACCCAATTCTTAAAATGTAAACTCATCTAATAATGATTTGCAGAGTAGTGAGCATTTTCACCACTTTAGAATGATGAGTAGAAATACTATCTGACTGTTATCTTATACCCGTGTCGTATTTATCCACGAAAAATCTATACTATTATTTAAGAGAAGTATGCTCGCATTTTATTTAAACAAAACGATACGTAGGGCTTGACTTTTTTACTCATGTTGAACTAGGCAATATTAACCAGATTGATGGAGTAGGGCAAATAGATAGGCAATATTTGCCTACTCAGTTGCATACACAGTTAAATCAAAGCTTTTGTGTACGTGACTCATCAAAACGGGTTTGATTAAGGTGGCTACTTTTGACCGGCAAGCCGACTCGCTACGCAGCCGATGTCCAGTCTAGCATGGAGCGAACGGAAATTCTTCACAAGAATTTTGACTAAAAAAGGCCATTTTCCTGACAATCATATGTTCAAATTTCATCTCGCTTTTTCCGTGGATCACGAGTAATATATAAATCGAATGTAAAACGAAAATATCATTTACTTTCAACCCATGTAAGAGATATCTTTTGATAGAAACATGTAGTCTCTCATCCACCGTAGCAAGTGTCGACCATTTTCACTCGAGGTAATTTCCTTCCACCAAATTCGACTTTAAAAACATATTATCTTGAGTCATGTACTCATGATTCGATCATTTCACCCCACACACTAACTTCTCCAGGTGAAAATAGTGAGCAGAATTTGTTGTCCCGACCGATGTACATATGCAACAACATACCTGCAGAATAAAAGGTACACACCAGAGACTATTACCAACTTAGTTATGATCATCCCAATAACACAAACGGTACATTAGCGTTTTCTTCAATTCACATATCCATGAAACCATACCCCTCTGTATTCCCGAATCCTCAAAAATCTCTTCCGAGAATATGAGAGGCTGATTGAACTGAAACCTGAACTACCCATCTCTCTACCACCATAACCCATAAACCAAATTACATTGCAAAAACAAATGATGCATGAAATCCCTTTCCTTTTAGTTACTAACATACTTCAGCAGAGAGATAAACACAAGCACATACAATTAGTTCGTTGTGTGTGAAATAAATAAAAGTACTAAAAACATTTCGGGTAGGCTTAGCCAATTTCATGAAAGGTGGAAAAGTGCCAACGAGCTAACATTCAAAATCGTTACTGTTTGTTACCAATCAGTAAGTATGAATTCATTCTAATGCTTATGCTTTAACTTTTCAAGGAAGGCCTACTTGATGCATCAGACAATAGTGATGGAGTCAAAGGCCAGCACCAAATGAGTGATCAGATATTCAGCAGTTTTAACTCTCGGGGAAAGTACCTGTACAAAATATAGGCCAGCATGATGGACCTTTCAGATTCCCTGGAGAACCTTTCGAGGATCGAGTTGTCCGCTGCAGTAACTGGAAGGAACAGCTGAAAGCTCCTGCCTTCCTCTCCACTCCTCTCCAGGTTTCAATGTTATAGGTTTCTCAATAGCAGCGGCCTCCACACACAGCATATGCTTGTATTCATCATCTCCAAAATCAGTCAAAGCCTTCGCCTTCTTATCCCAGGGATTCCATACAACTGAATCGGAAAACAGAAAACTAATCACTACAGAACAAAACACAATTCCAACGAACACTATGAGGGCAGGTATTTGACATTATAATTCTTCAATGTCAACTTGTAAATTAATCAAATCGGATAACAATATTTTAAAAGCACGAAGAAAGAACAAGAGTTCTCTCCACTAATCCTAGTTATATCATGAGTCATATGATACAGCAATTCAATCTGTTGTATTGTTAGTTATGTTAAGCCACAATACGCTTCAGTCAGGACTCTGGAAATTTTGAAAATAAAGAAGATAAATTCAGGCAGCAATAACTTCATTATGAACGACTGAACATGTTAATTCTAACCGGCATCTGGAAGACCATCTTTGCGTATTACAAATGTTCTCTTCTTCTCATGATCCAGAATGGCAATCTTTGTGGGAGTGCTGAGATATATCTTGTCCACCTAATTATTATTAGGAAAATAAAGTGAAAAGAAATGAACAAAATTAATAAATGCAACAAAGTAAGAATGAATAGCAACATAAGCTTACCTCTGACTCAAATGTTATAGCATCGCCTTGTTCAGTGCAACGTTTCCTGTTCTGAGTGTTGTCAAGATAATCCAATGTTTCCAATCCTTCTACACGAACTTCGCTGAACACAGGCACAATGAAAAATTCAAAATTTCAATACCATCCAGAACTGTTGCTTTCTTTCAACTGTATGTTACATGATATGGCATTAAAATTGAGGACAAGCACAATGATGCAGTAATTTTTTTCACATGGATGCGACCTAGTACATAGCTATAAGTAATTAACCATTTAGTAAAAAAATGCAGCACAGACAGCCTTAGACAGATGAGACGTTTAAGCCTGTCATACTCTGGTGACTACTGAAGTGAAGGAAAAACTGTTCCCAAGGGGTAACAATTTCCAACCCCTACAAAATTGATACCCACACTGTGCTAGTATGCTTACATATTCAATAGTATTTAAAGCAGGAAACAAGACACAAATCTTCCAATTTTAGAGTCCCTTTACATGTTTGGTTCACTTGGTGGCTAAATAAATATGCCAACTAACAATAAATATCATTTCTAGCATCGATCAAGTGGATGAATAACCTGATATCTGAAACAGAGAAGTAAGTGTGATATGCGAATGTGAATGTGAACGGCTTCCCATCGGTGTTAGTATTCCTGATGCGAGATATCAACGTCAGATCTCCTCCGGGTCCCAAAGCTACCCGCAGTCGGAACTCATAACTTCAGTTGAACATGAAATCAAGTAAAAGAAACCTTATAAAGTTGAAGCAACAACAGAAGATTATGTAGATTCCAAATAGAATCTTCCTCCAATAGCTTAAAAAATAATATATCAACAATTATTCCCAGTATTTACCTGTGAGGCCAGGTCTTCATATCTTCCTCGGTAGGCTTAAGGATCAAGTCAACAGAAACTTTATTGGGGCTATTTGTTGCGAAAGGAGATGGATCGGTGTCGATGCTCCAAACTCTGTTTCTAGCAAATCCATGAGCATCAAGAGAACCAAGATTGGAAAACTGCATAAATAAGGTACAAGTTCCCTTCATGAGGATGAACAATAAAATAAAGCAAGATCGACAGTCAGAAAGGAATGCATACTTGCGGAAAGCATAATGGGATTCCCCCACGAATTGCTTTTGGAGGCTTAAATATAGCCTGCAGAAGAAATTATACACTTCAGATGATTTTTTTTGGATGAATAAAGGAAGAGCAAAAATAAAAGGAGGAAGACAGGAGGAAGAAATATGCCACGAAATCAGTCCCCTTGCCATTGTGAAATGCAGGTAAGTAAATAAGGTGATATCCCCTTCTGCAAATATTGATAGCAAAATCCATTTAAACAGAATAATATGATATGAAATAAAATAAAAAATCCGGGTGGGGAACAGCGATGGGAATGAGGACGGGTATGGGGCAGGGACCTCAGTCTGCATCCCCATACGCCAACCTGATTTGGAAGAAAAAAGATTGCCGTCCCCAACCCCATGCCTTGCCCATTCTTTGTGGGTCCCTGAGAGAACTGAGCGCACAGGGAAAACTGCCATCCCTAGTCGTCTCACATTTCATGGCAGGAATTGAAAACAGTGTTGCCAGACTTCCAAAAACCTATAATCAACATCCTTATATCCTCCCGGGAGTGCAGACCATCCAGTAAAGCAACTGACCAAATCCTAGAGACTGCCTAAACTAAAAGAATAAGAAGTAAACTGAGTTGGTACGCAAAAATTTGGACGACATAACTATATTACGGTGTATGTCAACACCGCTCACTCCACATAATGCAGTACCACAATGCCAACATGCACTGATATCCTTTCACATGTTTGTTACTACAATACAATAAGCTTCCATCCGTTTAATGCATACATAACACATTAGCACTTGTTCATCCAAGTAATTAGATTAGGAACACTGATTAATACAAAGCTTAAAGCATTTTCAAAATTAAGAGCAAAAGAAGTATGTCAAAGCATCCCCATTGAAGATATTACACAGCATTGTACAATTCAAAAGAAAGCAAAAAAATAAATGGAAATTTCTCCAGTGATGTTCATTAGAAAAATCAAGAGAATTTACACCTAGAAAAACAAAATAATAAAAGTATTGAAATAAATAGCTGCATAGCACCTTACTGCTAACAAATAGCAATTCCTCTCCATGATCATTCTTCCATGAAGTTACATGAGCCCCGTACAGATACACCTGAAAAGCCCAAGAACAAATAATTATAAGGCACAGAAATTGAAAGTCCACTATAATCATCCTTGGGAATATGCTTCTGCAGCCTGATTATATTCTAAAACGTATCAACCCCTAATGGTAAAACATTACTTTTGACGACTACTAAAAACTAAACAAAACAAAGATAGAAAGTGAAACCATGCAGACCAAAATAATTCAGGGTGCAGTACGACTGAATATATTAGTGTTTAAATCTAGCAAGAATAGTCAAACTAAGCAAGATGAGGCGGTAAATAAAAAATGGAGCATTAGCATGCACTCATCGAATTGTATCCAAATTCAAGTGTCATCAAGGAAGAGCAGTGAACCAAATTGGCATTCTACATAGGCAATAAACAGCGAGCTATTTTCTCATGGGAAACCCAGAGGAATTAAACATCATTGGATATTTCACCACAAGTAGACGGTTGCCCAGAAACATTAATAAACTATCACATTTATCAGATTAATTAACAAACTTTAAGTATGAAATCACATTTAGATACTTGTCCGCGTGAACAGGCAAAATCAAAATTTTTTTTTTTTTGTCCAAAAAAAAAATTTGAGTGTTTCTTTAACAACAACAAAGCCTTATCCCACTAAGTGGGGTCGGCTGTATGAATCCGAGAACGCCATTGCGATCAGTTTCATGTCACGTCTTCCGTTAGATTCAAGTACTCCAAGTATTTTCTTAGAGTCTCTTTCCAAGTATTCTTAGGTCTTCCTCTACCCCTTCAGTCCTGAACCTCTATCTCGTAATTGCATCTTCTAACCGGAGCATCTGTACGCCTTCGTTTCACATGTCCAAATCACCTTAACCGGTTTTCTCTCATCTTTCCTTCAATTTCGTCTACTCCTACTTTACCTCGAATATCCTCATTCCTAAACCTATCCTTTCTCGTGTGCCCACACATCCAACAAAGCATTCTCATCTCCGCTACACTAATTTTATGTATGTGTTGATGCTTCACCGCCCAACATTCTGTGCCATAAAGCATTCTTGGCCTTATTCCGGTCCTATAAAAATTTCCCCTGAGCTTTAGTGCCATACAACCATCACACAACACACCCGATGCACTCTTCCACTTCTTCCATCCAGCTTGCTTGTATTCTATGGTTGAGGTCTCCATCCAACTCTTTGTTCTTTTGCAAGATAGATCCTAGGTAGCGAAAGCGGTCGCTCTTTGGTATTTCCTGATCTCCAATCCTCACCCGTAACTCATTTGAACCTCCACTCACACTGAACTTGCACTCCATATACTCCTCTCCAACACTTCTCTCCAAAGGTTAAGCTTCGCTTATACTCCTTCCTGTTTCATCTATCAACACTATATCGTCTGCGAAAAATATACATCAAGGAATATCATCTTGCATATCTCCCATTAACTCATCCCTTACCAATGCAAAAAGGTAAGGATTTAAAGATGAGCCTTGGTGTAACCCTACAGTTATGGGAAAGCTTCTGATTTGTCCTTCTTGAGTTCTTATGGCAGTCCTTTCGGTTTGTCCTTCATGAGTGTTTCTTTAAGGTAATAAAAATTTTGATTTTATGATAAATCTGATAATTTGCACAAGCATAACACCAGTAACTATCTCACATGTCCTCATTTCAATGTCCTACTTCTTGAGCTAATAGAACTTTGATGTGCATCTCCTTACAAATATCTATTTTAGAAAGGAAAAGCAAAGCTGTCATACTGATTCATTTAAAACTTCATGAACTTCCAAACCATTGGAAAGCCCCTAATGGTATTGGTGGACCTACTGTTCATCGCAAATCAGACTTCAATTATACTCAGAAAGGAAATGATGAGTTCTGTCCTTCAATAATATAATTTTTGTCCACATTAGACCGCAACAAATAGTTTCTAATATGAACAAACAGTAAAACTAATTGGGAGTAACAAGAAAATAAAACCGCATGACTCGCAGCCTGAAATTCACATCAACATGACGGTACATCCAACAATTAATAGCACCGCAGACACTTCCCAATCCTCCAAAATTGTACAAAAATGGGAAATTACTAAAAAACTTGAAGCCGATACGATGATGAGGCTTACGTTGGTGCAAGGAAATTTCACAATAACAGACAGATTTCTACACTCGGAAACCATAGAGAAACACATTGTTTGTCCTTAAAACAATTAAGGCCAAGATTAAACTTAGCCTGATAAACACACAAAACCTGGTAATCAATTAATCAAGAACTTAAACCAAACAGATCGAAGCAAACAATTTAAAAGAAGACAAAATCGGAAAGCAGAGAATCAACAAACCCTAAATTCACCAAACGGCAATAAACAAAAAAACAAGGATATCAAAATGAATCGAACAATGTCAGTTCTCAAACAGAAACACGAAGCCGAGCGAGCAAGCAAGCATCAGATCTCGAAGGCAAACAAAAGAGAGAAGGACGTCGTTTCAGAGGAATTACCTCCGCGGAACTGCCTCGTGGATCATGGAGGACGAGCTTGTCGAGGCCATTGACGCCCTTACTGGATTCAACGCCGGGATGAAGGCTTGCGTTAGCATTAGCAACAGCGCCAGCGCCAGCGCCACTGCTAGTATCAATCGATGCATTAATGGCCGCTGCAGCAGAAGCAGCGGTTGGATTCGGAGCCTTGTCGCTGCTCATTTTCTGTGTAAATCGATCGATCTCGTGAATGAGTTATTTCTTGCTGTTGGTGTTGCTTGAGAAACTGAAGGGCAGAGGAGGCTAATATCTGAAATTCAACAGGCCCCAGTGAGGGAGTAGAAGTATGATAGTATCGGCAGACCAACTGTCAAGTTTCTGCCACCAAAATTACGACACCGGTTTCTCTCTCATGAAACTTCCTATCATCTCCTTTTTTTTTTTTTTTTTTTTGTCTTCTTTATGTTGTACAAGCATCTTCAAAATATCAAAATTACCACGTAAACATGTAACAGTAACAAATGACAGCAAACTCTCTTCAATTGAGTCTTCATTTTCTTACGTGGCACTGAGTCAATTGATGGCAAATATCAAATTTATTAAATTATTGTTTATGGGTTTATATTATACTAGCCTCTCTGCACGCACTAACGTGCGTGCGAGAGGCATTTTTGCATCATGGGCGCTACGCGCCCCTAAATGTGTATTGTGTTAGTTTGGTTCCATTGTGGTTGTCAATGTATATGCTTTAGAAAGTATGATACCAAGTTTGGAGGTGAGGTATGAAATCTAGAAGATGACTGCACCTAATTGGAAGCAATAAATTGAAGTTGTTGACGTGGATACTCTCTCACACGCAGCAATGCCTATTTCGGTGTTCTCAAGCACGTGCGAAAGACACTTTTTAAATCACGGCACGCTACACGCAACTTACACATTTTAGATGTATTGATATGCGAGGATTGGTTCAAAGTATAGAAACATAAAATAAAGGCGATTATCATCTCTAATAATATAGGCGGAATCTAAAGTATTTTGTCTAGAATATGTAAAAAATAAAAAAGTAATAAATAACAGAGAAGATCCTTATAACTTAGTTGCAACTAAAAGTTAAATAAAAAGTATAAAAACAATCCGAGAAATTTAATTGACCTTGATGCACATGACACCAAAAAATATCATGAACTCATATCATTCCGTCCTGTTGAAAATTTAATGCGTTTGGTTAAAATCAAATATTAGCATTATTTGTAATTGAAGTGCATTAAAAGTTGAAAAAGGGAATTAAACATTAAAAGAAAGAATGTAACCTTATGTTGAATTCGAGGGAAGCAAAATATCTTTGTACACAACATTTCTTGTGAAGACTCCTTCGTTACCGTGTAACTCTCCTTTCTTTACCAAGACTTTTGTTGTAGACGCTGAAACTCCTCTTGATAAAGCCACGTACAATTGTCCATGACTGAATACGTGATCTGGTAGATAAATACCTACATTTGGTATTGTCTGCCCTTGTGATTTATTTATAGTTAGTGCAAAACTCAATTTCACTGGAAACTGTTTTCTCATCATTTCGAATGGGAGTCCTGCACTTTCTGTGGTCTTTAAAGAGATTCTTGGTAAAAACACTCTAGTTCCAGCAAATTGTCCAGATAAGATTTCGGCATCAATTAGATTATTGTAAGCTCCATGGCAAGCCAGTCTTGTACCATTGCACAACCCCATCTTCGGATCGATATTTCTCAAAAGCATTATCGAGGCACCTTTTTTCAAAGTTAACTGATGAGGGGGCATTCCACCAGGTGAGATTGAATTCAAGAATTCTTGTTGATACAAATTTCTCACATCATCCTCAACTGAATCGAAAGAGTATAAGATATGTTCAATCCCCGGAAATTTATCGATGATCATTTTATTGATTTTGTCAGCATCCTCATTTTTTGGTGTTATAATTGCTCTTTCCACCAAGTATCTTGCATCACATACATGACATTCCAAATCGGGGAAAACTTCATTAACCAATTGGACAATGGATTCTTCACCATTCCATGGAATAACCATAGATGATGGTAATTGCATCATGTCGTCTATCATAGTTTCTTGTTCCCCATTACCAACATGAAGTAAGAACTCTGAAAAGTCTTGATCATTGATGGATCTCATGTTATGCCTAAGACGAATGATTTTCACGTGTTCCCAAAATGAAGCATTAATCATACTTGCTTGCATCAATTCAGATCTTGTACCTTTTGGAACAACTGGAAGAACTTGTCGAAAATCTCCTCCAAAGATTATGACCTTTCCTCCATATGGTAGGTCAACGCCCATTATATCTTTGAACGTTCGATCGAGAGCCTCAAATGCAAACCTGTGTGCCATTGGTGCTTCATCCCAAACAACAGCTGATGTTTTTCTTATCAATTCTGCCAAATCTGACTGGATACTAATAGAACATGTGGAAGATGCATCTGGACTGAGGGGAATTTTAAATCTAGAGTGTGCTGTCCTTCCACCTGGCAATATGGTTGCTGTAATTCCAGATGTTGCTGTTGCCAATATAATATGACCCTTACTCCTTAAGGTTGCTAACAAAGCACGATATAAGTATGTCTTTCCTGTCCCTCCGGGACCATCCACAAAAAATATGGCATTGTCTCGTTGTTCAATAGCAGACACAATCGAGTTATACGCTGCCATTTGGTCTTCATTTAGATTTTGTACCGCATTGAGGTCTGCTTCAGAGATGTCAAGTGAAACTTCATCTTGTATTATCCTTGGAATTGTGTTGTCTCTAACACAATCTTGTGTTATTTGTGGTAAATCGTAATCAGATACAGACTTACTATGTTGCACTAATAGTCCGTTCAAGTCTTGCAAAAGCTTGTTCAAGATAGAAGTATTATTTGTGGTACTTGAAACAGAATAATCTTCCACCATAAATGAATGAAATTCATCCCATAATCTTCTTACTCCATGTGGCTCACAATAAACTAAGATGGTAACAAACAACCTTCGCAAAGCTGACGGCATGTGAATGTTAGTGGCTTCACAGAGACACTGTCTGATGCTATCATCATCTTCTAGCAAACCTCGTTGTTCCACTGCCTTCTTAAATGTTGGTTGTACAATGTCATTGACTGTTCTTAAATTCTCAAATGATGTTGGTCCTCTAACATGATTAAGAAGGATGCGTAAGTAGAATTTTTCACCCTCATTCGGCGAGACTGCATATATTCGGCCAATAACTTTATGGTTATTCATCCTCTCACTCCAGAGTTTATCTCTTTGACTCCATTTGAACCGTTCAGGGAATTCCCGGTATAAGTATTGTCATGCTTCCAGGCAAGTGGTATTCTTGGTAAAAAACTCTGTCAGCATAGTCATCGAGTTAGTGTCATCTGCCAAAATATCTGCTACTCTTTGGTGAGGGTAAAAATGAATAGTTTGTCCTTCGGGAAGATGAATTTGTAATCGTTCCACCGATGGATAAAGTCGATTAGTTACAAATTTGAATATTCTCCATAAAGCTTCAGGTGCACAAACCCATCTTGCATCAACAAACTGCTTTATTTCATCTTGAATAAGTTCATGATGGACTTCAAAAGCTACTCGGTCGGGACCTTTGTAAACATATTTGTACAGATACTTAACACTCTTAATGCTGCAACAAATCTCAACATTAATATGACAATCATATCTGAGGAGTAGCCATGAGTTATACGGAATGACCCACCGATTATCCACCATTATACGTGCATTATGATCTAATGGGATTGGATCATGATTGTCTCTTCTACGATAGACTGGATAAGAATCATTTCCTTGAACTGTAGTTAGTGCAAATGGCTTAGGATAATTTCGTTTACAGCTACCACGTTTCATACAGGGTGACCGTGAATTGTGTATTCCACATGGACCATGTATCATATGCCTTAAGATGGCACCATACAATTCAGACTCTTCATTTGGATTTGGTATTTCAGCCCGTACCACCTGATCATAATCATATGGACTATTAAGCTTATCATTTTCTTCTAACATGAGAAGCATGTGAACATGGGGGAGACCGCGCTTTTGAAACTCAATGACATATACATATGCAAGAACTTTGCCTAAAACACCTTTTTTTATAACATCATTCTTCAACTCTTCAAATTTTGCACGAAAAACCCTTGTAAGCAAATCTGGTCGATCTTGTGGTGTTTGGCCAGGTAGTAGCTCATCACTTATTTCTTCCCAAGTTGGATTACATGTCATTGTTAGGAAAATATCTGGTCTTCCATATTTTTGAACCAAAGTCATTGCATCTTGATACCTTTGATACATGTCTCGGGGACTACCAACAAAAGATGATGGTAATATAGTCCTACGACGACCGACGTCTCCTGTATTTGTTTTGTTATAGGTCGTTAATAAGTCTAAATATGTTTGTTTTGTTTCAACCCTTTAATAAGTCTCATTTAATATGACAGAACATGAACTTAAAGAATATATGTTTTATTATAAACTGATTAGCTTCATACCTGCATTATTTTGTCCTGCAATTAATGAGTCTTGCAGTCCTCGATAAAATTCAGATCGAATTGTGTGTTGATTATTACGCATCCATCTAAGCTTTTGTGATTCGATCTTGACATAGTTATCAACTACATATTGTTGCAATAGGCGGCCACCACGAAGTAGAAGCGATTCGTCGTGTTGACGGATCTAAAATGATAAAATTCATTGTTCAACACAATATAAGTTTTAAAAATTAATATTGTATTCATAGAGATGAAGGTCTTAGGTTACCTGAAGAAGATATGAATAATAGTCACAACATGTCACTTTTCTGCTGTTGTTATTTCGAGTATTCACATCCCATCCATATGTTCCATAAGGTAACAACAATGGATATTGTAAAGGGTCATAGTAGCCGACACAGTCTTTGATACTCTTAAGTTGACCATCTGTAGTTTGCACAACAATATCTCGACCTCTAATGTTTTCTGATCCTTCACCACCTACTATGATTGCAGCAACCTGAGATGCAGACGGTAAACAATATTGTCGTTGATTCGTGGGCTGCTCTTTGATAATCAATCTACAACTTTGCAAATCTTGACGTTGCGCAAGGTGGTGAAATGTTTGCACAAATGGATTATATTGATTCAAGATTTGTTGGATTTTTTCAACCACATCTCTGTTTAGTGCTTCACTTTCTCTCATTCAATTGTCTATTTCATGAGCTGTGTCATATATATACATTTGTAGGAATCTCGGTCTACTATCTCTAATAGGCAAAAGACTTCCAATCTTATGATATATGTAACCTTGAGCACGAAATGTGTAAATACCACGTCTTCCTGTTGCTAGGTTTTCGTCAACATGAACTCCCATTGAAGTGAAGGCAAAAATGTGGTTGTAAGCTCGTATATACTGCCTAAAATGTCTTCCCTCGGCAGATTGGTTGCAAAAAAGCTCAGTCATTTCAGGAGGGGACGATGCCAATGGTAGAGCAAGCTTTCCACGTAAGCAACACATTTCAGATGTTTCATGAGAGAACAAACGGGCATGACAATCTGGACATGTGGTTGGATTTGGCATGTGAAATCTTGGGATTTCCATGTTTTCATTAAAGTTTCTAGCACAATTATGAATTGGCCTTCTTCCCATAGTATGATGTCGAGGTGGTACGTCCTCGTTAGGCTGGATCTCATTTTCATTAATGAGATTAAAAGCATCTGCTTAAAAAGGAAACATTAAAGGTGTTTCATGATTTAGAGAGCATAGTTGAAATTGTAGGTATTAATATTAAAAAAATGATACCTTCATTGATGATGGCCAGATAACAATGACTCATTGGAGTATTCGAACTAAACGATTGCGCTGTTGTATTTTCTGTTATAATCAAATGAAATGGAAGTAAGGTAATAAGTAGTGTTTACAGTAATGATGATATTGATGTTTATCTTTTTCAGAGTTGTACTATGGTAGTTTGTGCGATTACCATTATTAGTGAAACTTTGTATTAGTCCATCCCGAGGCAAGCGTGTCCTATTCGATCGGGCAATTTGCCTTATATGAGTTAAGCGCATTGTTCTTGGAACTTGATTGCTGCTGCCTTCTCCAAACGGCACTATGTTTAGTCGTTCAACATGATTGCTACTACCTTCATCGAATTGCACTATGTTAGGGTGTTGAACTTGATCGGCATCACCACCAAATAACATTATGTTTGAGCGTTGAATTTGTTGAACACGATAATTGGATCGTCGCCGTGCTAAATATTCGTGTCTTTGGCTTGAACTCATTGAATTCCGCCTCATACGTTGTTGATCCCGCCATTGCTCTCGTTGGCTTTGTGTCTGATCAGTATCATATGCATTTCGTTGCTCTAAACCAAGAAACGTAATGGTGCACGAAAAATATTAGTAAGCATAGAATATTATTTAAGTACCTACATACGTATTTTTTTTCCGTTTGTTTTTGTAATTGAATCATTGGTATACATTACGTTTTTTTTTTTTTTCCGTTTGATTGAGACTGCCTAGGTCACATAATAAGTGGCAGAGGAAGAAGAAAACAAAGAAAAAGTGAATGTTTTGTATTTTGAGCTATTTTCTCTTTAAAGTCTGTAGCTTTTAGTGATCAGAAAAGCAAAAACTGTGGATTGTTTTGGATGCCAGACCTTGGATGAATAGTAATGTTTATTTTAATTGATCACAGAAAAGAAAAACACATTTTTTTTGGATGAGAGTGGTTTTCTTCTTGCCGTTTTCGGATGAAAATGAATGCAACGCCAATATCTCTGAATCTAGGGTTTACTAAAATTTAGTGAATTTCATGCACTGAATCATTGATTTATGATTTCATTTCTCTGATTTGGGTTGTGCTTTTTGCTTCCTTTGATTTTGCATCTGTGTAATTATGTGCTGCATGTTTTTTTTTAACTTCACAATTTTTTCCATTTAGTATCGATGTACTATATCTTTATGTGATGTTATTTTTATATTTTTCTCTTGACTATTATACTTGAACTGTTATTCCAAGTTTACATAATATTCCTTTCCTTCTTTGTTTATTTTTATTTTTATTTATTTATTTATTTTTCTTGTTTGGAGTACTTGTTAAAACGTTGGTCACTATGGTAAATATATACAATCCAAAATATTGAAATTATTATAGACATAACAGAATTATTAAATGGATGTTTGCATTGATAGTACAAAAAGGCAATGACAACTTAGAATCACTGATTTGTTCAATCTTAATATATTTGTCTTAATAATTTGTACAAAAATGTTAATACAACGTACGAATTGAATAGAGACAAAAAAAAAAAAATCATAGTTACCCGCAGATGTCGATCCTATGTTTTCTTGGTTTACTTCCGTTTGATTTTGGACTATATTGATTGAGTTCAAGCGGGTTTGATAATTGGCACGTCGTCGTATTGAAATTCGAGGCCGCTGTGATGAATTCATAGATTGTCGTCTTTGTCTTTGTTGATTGCTCCTATGATTTTGCCTTTGTTGATTACTCCTACGATACCTTTGGTCTGACTGTTGAAAATTGTGAATATTTGTTTGTCCAAAGTCAACTTCTTCATTGCCAACCTACATTGAGAAATTGCTAAACAGAATGAATTTTATTTTATTTTTGAAAAAGAAGAAAAAATATATCATCTGTACAAAAGAGGAATAATGCAGATAAGGTAACAACCTCTGACATATCGCTTCTATCAATTCCCTCCATACTTGATATGTTGGAGTCCTCCAAAAATCTTAAAACTGAAATTTCAATTTGATGATTCTTAATAAAGGTAAATGAACAAAATTTACGTACAGAATATGGGCAAAATAGATAAAAATGAAAAATGCATAAGTAACTTAAAAACTGCACATAAACAGAAAACTTTAGCTGTGGCTGTTAGGTATTCCTCCCATTTGCGGATCCAATTGAGCTAATTTTCCGGAGCTTACCCTATGTGAATCATAGGCACCCAAGGGAAAGCAAATATTTGAGAGGCGCAAGCATATTTGCATAGCACTTAGATTCCTTTCTATCAAACCCATTCTTCAGAAACCATTTAAAAAAAGGGAGGTTGGTAAATTTCAGTTCTTACATATCAAATCTCTTTTCATAACACACCAATCTCTGGAAATGGTGGAAATTTAAAAAATGCATAAGTAACTGCACATAAAAATAAAACTTTACCTGCTGCTGTTAGGTATTCCTCCCATTTGCAGATCCGATTGAGCTAATTTTCCTGAGCTTCAACCACGGACCCAATCATGAATCCCTAAATTTACCCAATCTTAACAACATGAAGCTTTTGGTACAAATATTTAACGGAGCAGTAAACTTCAAAAGCAAAAAGAGTTACGAAAACAAATAGAAAACATAATGGTTAAACATACAACAAAACATGGAAGAGAAGCACAAGAGAATAAGACCATTTTAAGTCAATATGTATGTTGTAAGTCTTTGCTTCTTAGTATCCTCTTAGCTACTGTGAACTCTGTTTCTGCAAAGTAATTTAGTAATCAAACTTTCAGCAATACAACTAAAGTTTAAAATTTAAAACAATTAAGTAATGTAATCATTAAACGAAACCTAACACTAATACTCTAAAAGTTTCGTGATATAGGCCCTAAATCAAAGAAAAAACGTTCTAAATTCATTAAAATGGCTAGCACACCTTAAAAACAAATAAAACCTAACCATTTATTTTATACTGCTGCTTAAAAAAAAACTACAATTCTTGTCTTCGGTAAGCCTCACATATTCATCATCGGGGTGTTTTATTTTATTTTATTTTATTTTTTTGGGACATTTCAGCACCTGAATGCAATGACATTACCAAAGTCTATAACTGTAGAAATTAAGAAATAGCATAATTAACATTCTACAATCATTTCATAAACTGTAAGTTTCATCAAAAGTCTGGTACCAAGAAACCAAGTGCAATACAATCGAATGTAATACTCGGATAAACAAAAGAGAGACCAACGTCCCTCCACCAACTACCCATTACAAAATATGCATAAAAAAATAGATGATGATCAAAGATCGAAGCAACAAATGAGAAAATTTTCGAGCAGTGCAACCATGTAAATGAAGAAGGAAAAAGATAAAAGTACCGAAAATGCAGATTAAATGAACAAAATTGATGTACAGAATATGGGCAAAAGAGATAAAAATAAAGAATGCATAAGTAACTTAAAAACTGCACATAAAAAGAAAACTTCACCTGCTGCTGTTAGGTATTCCTCCCATTTGCAGATCCGATTGAGGTAATTTTCCGGAGCTTACCCTATGTGAATCACCGGCACCCAAGAGAAAGCAAACAATGAGCAGGAAAATAAACTTATTGGCAGAAAGAACATAAAAATGCAAATCTCTAATCCGTCTATACATCCGGTGACTTACCGATGCGCATATAAACGTTCATCGATCTGAAAATCTCTAATCCGTCTATACATCCGATGACGTACCGATGCGCATATAAACGTTCATCGATCTGGAAAAAGTAGCCTTGCCAAAACTGAAAGAATTTCAAAGCAGTTCTTTCTACCTGAAAGAATTTCAAACGCCCAAGATCAGATTTTACATTTCACAATAAAATAAAAACCCAAAAATTATCAAATTATAGAAAACCAAACCGAATTTAAAGAAAATGCGCGGGAGAGATTTTACAATAAAATAAAAACCCAAAAATTATCAAATTATAGAAAACCAAACCGAATTTAAAGAAAATGCGCGGGAGAGAATATGGAGTGGTAGGTTGCAGTTAGAAAACAAAATGAATAGAGTTGTACGTGGAATTGTGTGAGGAAGAAGTTTGATCAGAAAATAGGGGAATAGAAGATAGACGTGTGAGTTTGAAAACTGTATGGAAACTGCTATGCAGTTTGAAAATTAAACGTGCTAATCCTGAAGATTTTTCTCCCCACGTTGGTTGTTCTCTCTCCTAAAATGGAGGAGTTATCTGTTTCTTTTTCTTTTTCTGTTAATAATACAAATTTTATATTTTTGTATTCTGACAAAAATGTCCATGAGTTTTTTAATGTATTATATTGTGTCGGTTTTTGTTTTTTTTTTTGTTTGAGGGTTATTTTAGTCTAGAAACTTTTGGTGAAGCCTTGAGACACCAAAGTTGATTGCTGGCTTTCTAATATTAAAGATAAAACAAATTTTATATTTTTGTATTCTGACAAAAATGTCCATGAGTTTTTTAATGTATTATATTGTGTCGGTTTTTGTTTTTTTTTTGTTTGAGGGTTATTTTAGTCTAGAAACTTTTGGTGAAGCCTTGAGACACCAAAGTTGATTGCTGGCTTTCTAATATTAAAGATTAAAGATAAGCATCTTCAAAATGTCAAAACTGCCACTTAAACAAAACTGCCTCTTAAACATGTAACAGTAACAAATGACAGCAAACTCTCTTCAATTGAGTCTTCATTTTTTTATGTGGCACTGAGTCAATTGATGGCAAATATCAAATTTATTAAATTATTGTTTATGGGTTTATATTATATATAATGAATGTTATTATGTTTTTCAAATATTTGATTAGTTGCCTCAATTATTGGACCCCATAAAAGGATAAAAAGATTTATTAAATGACATTATTATTTAACAACTAAAATTGATAAAGAATGCAGAGATTTCTTTTGAGGGAGAAATACTAAACTCAGACCAATGCCCTGGAAGAATGTTTGTTCTCCAAAGAATCAGAATGGTTTAGGAATCAAACGGATTGATCATTTTAACAATACTTGTTTAGCCAAATTAGGTTGGAAATTTTTAACCAACAAAGAAAATTGGTGGGCTAAAATAGTAAGTAAATACTTACGTAAAACCGATTTTTTAAATTCGAAGATTAAACAAAACTGCTCACTTGTTTGAAAAGGCAGTCTTTCTAATAGAAACATCATTCATGAGGGAATGAGATGGATTGTGGGTACTGGTGAAGACATACTCTTCATGACTTATTATTGGGTTTTTCCTTACCCCTTTTTCATTTAATTCCCGTGAATGATAGGAATAATATTGATTGGAATCTTAAAGTAAGCAACTTTATAGTTCTTAATAGTTGGGATAACATTGAATTAGCTACTATAGTTGATGATGACATCATTAGAAAAATTTGTCGCATTCCCCACCCTTTACAGGAGTCAAGGGACAAGTTAATTAATTTAGGGCTTAACCAATAATGGAAGCTTTTCTATTAAGTCTGCTATTTGGCTACAAAATCGGAACAATCACTCTAGTAATCGCCTTACTTTGTTAAAGAAAATGTGGAAGCTAACTATTCCTCCTAAGGTTAAAATGTTTGCTTGGCTTATGATTTAGAAAAGATTGCAAACCAGAAAACACTTAAGTCATTTTGTTAAAAACATTGATGAGTTATGTCCATTATGTAATACAGCCGAAAAAGATTAATGTCATCTCTTTTGTAATTGTGTTTTTGCTACTAAAGTTTGAAGCTTAAGTTTTGGTGGTTTTAATTTAACTTTTGGTTGTTTTAATAATGGTAACATAAGTAGACCTGGCATTTCAAACTCGACCCGTTAAAATGAGTAGGATGAGTGTTAAACGGGTCAGGTGGTTAATGGGTCAACCTGTTAAGCACCCGTTAAATAATAGGTCATTTTGGATGAACCCACGAAACCATTATTGAGGATTTTTGTGTAATTTCAGTAGTCAATAATGAAACCCCTCACTCTGAGTCTCTGTCTCGCATTGCACTATCGCACTATACGCCGTCACTGAGCTTCTGGTTTTGGTTCCCGTTTTCTCCCTCATCTTCTTCCTCATAAATTACCACTCTCTCCGGTAAGCTCCGATTCACTTCCACCTCTTCTTCCATGGCGATTACTAGGGTTTTTGTGTGATTGGATTGGAGATTTGGGCTTTCTAGGGTTTTATTGTGCTACTCTCTCAATTTCTCTCAATTTCCTTACTTTATTTCTGGATGATCATTAAATTACGTGACTTAATCGGCATATTTTGTGTTTTTTTCTCGTTAATTGGACTGTTTATGCTATATGGTTAACTGGGTTTCAATGATATATCCCTTTTAATCCTTCTAGAGAGAATACATATTGGAATTAGATTCGGTGCTATTTCATATTCTCAATTCTTGCTGGAATGCAGATTGGAATTAGTTTACTAATTGTAACCATTACTTTTGTCATGCATTGAGGATTAGCTGCCATTGGATATTCGTCTATTTAGCAATTATAATCTTTCAAAAGTCTAAAAAGATTGAATCTTTAAGCCACCCTTGAACTTTTAAGCCACCCATTTCCTGTTATTAAGCACGACTGTATTGATCCCATTTTAATTTTCCTAGCTTAAAGTTGCATGCTTGGAACCTGATATGTTAATTTTTGAGCTAAACTTCAGCAGTTGGGTGCTTTTTTGGGCTGCAATATATATCTTCCAGGTAGTATAAGGTCAAAACTATGGTAGATGGGAGTTAGGCCATTTGGCGCCCACCCCTTGCTCCTGAATTAGAATTCCCCTGTTCTTTTAAAGATATTTTCTGTGATGTTTAATAATTAGGATGGAAACAATTTTTTGGTCAGATCTTAACATCGTCTCGTGGTATCATCAATTTACTCAACAGTTCTATGTTATTGCATACAAGTTCTTTGTGCATGCTTATTTCGGAATACTCTGGTTGCCCTTCTAAGTTTCTAACAATGAAGGCATTCATGAATATTAAGAGGTATTTGTGTTCTTCTGGTTTGGTGTTTTAGTGTATGAAATGTCAAGCTAATAAATGGGTTCTTTGCTATACCTGCACTGCATAATAATTTCTCAAAGTACCTCTTTCTTGAAGGTCTAAACGTACGTTGCATTGCAATTAATTTTATGCAGTTATGCAGATACAAACTCTTCATTGCCGTTTTCATTTCATTAGAGTCAAAGTAGCTAATGTTCTGCAATTATTACATTGCAGTTAATGTTTGATCTATTAATTTTACCATGGTTTTGCTTATGGAATTGCATAAGACTAGTGAAACATATTCTTGTCCATTTACACAGTTTATTCGTTTATGGTTAGTGCAGATGGATATCGATGAAGAGAATACTGAGGTATTGGAAATATCAACAATCAATCTAAGTGATACGCAAGGTACAACAAGTGCACCAAGTTCTTCAAAGAGAAAGGCTAAAGGTATACGAGCAGGTAAGATATGTCAAAAGAGATCCCATGTTTGAACTTTGTTTGAAGAATTGCATGTTGGTCCTGATGAAAAACAGCATGCGAAGTGTAAAAACTGTGGGATAGTTTACGTATGTGAAAGTAACTGTGGAATGTAAAACCTTGAATCATGGATTCGTGTAGTAAAAAAACATCACATTGATGTGAAGAAATCTCAAGTTGGATTGCGTTCTCCTTAGTTTAACCATATTAGTTTTTTTGAGCTATTGATTGAGGCTATAGTAAAGCATGATTTGCCTTTTAGGTTTGTTGAATATGAGGGCATTAGAACTTTGTTTAAATATTTATATCTCATGATATCAAACTGCCATGTAGAAATACCGTTAAGGAACATGTGTTGAGGATGTTTGCAGATGAAAAGATAAGACTTCGAGATTGGTTAAATACAATTAAGGGGAAGAATTTGTTTGACATCTGATCTATGGTCTTTTGCTGCAACTGATGAATATCTCACAATCACAACTCACTTTATTGATAAAGAATGGAAAATGTACAAAAGAATTTTAAATTTTTGTCATATGCCTCCTCCATGTACTCGGGTTGCTTTGTCTGAAAAAATTAATGCCTTATTAGTTGAGTGGGGGATTGAAAATAAACTGTTTTCCATTACTTTGGATAATGCCTCTACAAATGATTGTTTTGTTGAGCTATTGAATAAACAATTAAATTTTAGAGGTTTTCTATTCTTGGATGGAAAGTTCTTCCATGTTCGTTGTTGTGCTCACATCCTAAACTTGATACTCCAAGATGGACTAAAGGAAATTGATTGATCAGTGACGAAAGTTGGTGAGTGCATCAAATATATAAAGTGTTTAGAAGGGAGAAAAAAATAAGTTTTTGGCTTGCGTTGTACAAGTAGGGTTGGCCGGTAGTAAAGGAGGGTTGAGACAAGATGTGCCTACTAGATGGAATTCAACTGCTTGATAGTGCTATTTTCTATAGTCATGCATTTCTCAATTTGGCACTTGTTGATTCTAATTTTAGTTCATGTCCTTCCTTGGAAAAGTGGGATAAAATAGAGAAGATTTCCAATTTCTTGGGGTATTTTTATGAAGTTACTTGCTTATTTTCCAGAACAAATTACCCTACATCAAACTTGTGCTTCTCAAAAGTGTTCAAAGTCCATTATTGTATTCAAGATGCTATGGAAGATTGTGATGATTTCATGAGACGGATGGGGAAGTTATATGAATTTGTAGTTTGAAAAATATTGATCAAAGTAGAGTTTGATCCTTGCCATAGCAGTGATTCTTGATTCTCGCTATAGATTGCAATTTGTAGAGTGAGGTTATGACAAGCTTTATGGTAAGGAGTCAAGAGAGTTGAAGGATGTTAGTGGCACATTGTTTGCACTCTTTGCTTGTTACATGAATGAGGTCTCTCATCTTCTTGTATCCAACCCACTTAATCAGCCTCCTACTCAAATAAAAGTTGGAGACAAACTTTTTGAGATAGTATTTATATTTGTTATTCTCTTTTTATACTTTTTATTTGCATCTTTATATTGTACGTTGATGCCTTTGTTTCTATTTTATTTTTATATGTAGGAATTTGATAATATTTACCAAGATGGGTCAACTTCAGTTGAAAAAACTGAATTACATTTATGAAGCAAAGAGACTCGATAGAAAACAAGAGTTGGATATTCTTTCATGGTGGAAACTGGAGCAATTTCGTTATCACGTACTTTCTCGTATGGCTTCTGATGTCTTAACAATTCCTATCTCAACTATTGCCTTGGAATCAGCATTTAGTATTAGTGGTAGGGTGCTTGATCAATATCGAAGTTCTTTGTTGCCTGAAATTGTTCAAGCCTTGCTATGTACTAGAGATTGGCTTTTTGGCAAAGAAGGTAAATTTTATAGTACTTTGTATTTTTTTTCCTTATATAATAGGTTATAATTGTTTTCATTTTTTCCATTTATGTTTAGCTTTAGAGAAAAAGGGTGCTGACTTAGAAGAACTCACTAAAGAAATTTTTGACATGAGCCTTAACGAGAACTCGGGACAATGCTCCAATAGTATTAGTCTTGATTAAGCATTAACTTGTTCTTTTAAAGATATTTTTCTGTGATGTTTAATGATTAGGATGGATTGTGCAAGATTAATGCTTACATTTATTATGACAAGCTTCTTACTAATGGAAATTTCGCTTGTCAAGGAAATATAGTTCCAATTTAGTCCCTTGCATCATTTTATTACGTCTCTCCGTGCTCTCTAACTAAAGACCTTAAACCATAAAGGTGAATGTTTTGAAGGCAAAAAAGTAGCAGAGGATGCAATGCAAGAAGAAGGTTGGCAAAAAAGCAGCAGATGATGCAATGCAAGAAGAAGAAAGAGACCCACTGTAGACTTTGTAGTGAGACATTGATTGAGACTTAAGAAAGAGAATTATTGTGTTTTACTTAAACAATTTTCTGATCTATGTTAAGATTCGGAAACGCATGTAATTGATAGAAAGTCGAATTCCACTATAAAATGGGATTGTAATTGATTTGGATGATGTTAAGAAAATAAAAAATAAAATAAAAGGTTAACGAGTGAAACGGGTTGAAATGGGTGACCCGATAGCTTAATGGGTTGGGTTCGGATGACTCGTTAAATTAACGGGTCGGGTTGAACTTGACCCAAACCTAGTAAACCCAACCCATTTACAGGTCTAAACATAAGTACTAATGATATTTTTTTTGAGTGGATGGAATCCTTAAGTTCTAATGATAAAGATGGCCTTTCTAATCTTAGTAAAGTAATTCTGAACTGTTGGCAAATATGGATGGAAAGAAATGACTTGGTGTTCAGAAGTGTGCCCCCGATCCTGACGCGTTGTGTTTTTACAGTCAGTAGTGTTGGTTTGGCTTTTTTCAAGGCTAATGGGAAGTGTGACTCCAATGAGGCTTTACCTATCTCTTCCCTTATTAAATGGCATCATCCTAATTGGTATGATGTGATTAAATTCAATTTTGATGGTTCAATTTCAAATAATCGTGCTGCTGCTGCCTTTGTGCTCCGTAACAATAATTCACAGGTGATTAGGGCGGGGGTTCTTAACCTTGATGGCGCTACTTTTTTGGTAGCAGAAGCGATGAGTTTGCGAGAATGGCTCCAGTGTGCTAGGCGCAAGGGTTTCACCAAAGTGATGGTGGAGGGGGACTCTAAACTCATCATTGAAGCTGTGCAGGGTCACTGGGGGATTCCTTGTAGAGACAACTCTATAATCAATGATATTCGTATCCTAGCTTTGTCTTTTAGTCATGTTGATTGGAAGTACATTTTCAAGAAGGCAAACTTTGTTGTCGATGCTTTAGCTCACCTTGGTCTCTCCTTCTCGAATCCTCATTATTGGGGTTTTTGTTTACATGATGTTGCTCTTCCTGCCTTTAATTTTGATTGTATTGGAAACGGTTGTACTAGAGGTTTCGTGCTTTAATGAATTTCTTTGCATAAAAAAAAAATAAAAAGACATTATTATTTAACATATCGGGTGAAGCAAAATATTTTACAAAATGTTAAATTGGCACATAAGCCATCAAATATCATTTTGATGTTTAAAATTTGACACCTCCTTTGGTAAGTTGAGATTTTACTATGGGAAGTAGCTCAACTCTTAATAAGTCTTTGTAAGGTGGGACCTTTTTACTTTTATATCTTCAAATGCCCGCTCATGGGTGCAGGATTTTTTGTGACGTGGAGTACGTGTGAAAGGAGAAATCGTGCAAAAACTTATAAAAGGTAGGGCAACTCTACATATTGCTAATTGATTTTATAGTAGAAACTCAAATTTTTTCATAGTATCAGAGCAGGTTGTCTCACGTGTGAAACTCAATAGCCCTCCATGTCACCTAATTCGTGTTGTCTATATGTTTGGCTTGAAAATTCACCACACATGAGGGAGCGTGTGATGATGTGAAGGTAAAAGAATTTCACATCGGTGAAAAAAGAAACATTGCAAAGACTTATAAGATGTTGCTCTACTCTTATATTGCCAACTTTCTTCAATTGTAGCTAGCTAAATGATTGAAATGTTAATTTGGCTAGCAACTTCAAACAATACTAGCTACTTTAGATTAAGTTAAAATACTTTAATATTAATTTTTCCTAAACTTAATAATCCAAGCCATTTATCTTCTCTTGAAGCCCATCAACAATGCAATTTTACAATTTTTAATGTTTAGCAAGAATTTAACTCTCTCTTTTCCCCTGGCTAAATTTAGCTAATTAACATTCACAAAGTTAAGATAGCTAGTCATTTAGGTAAGCCTATTGAAGCTTGGTTTTTTTACATTTTTGTTGAAGTAACCAAAAGGTCTCATTTAGCTAGACTGTTGGAGATGCTCTTAAACTATTACATGATGTTACAATTTGTTCATATTTAATGCGCATATTTCTTAACCTGCGAGGTTTAAGGGGAGAAAGCTCCTCCTTGCTTCTCTCGAGAAACTGTCACTTTCCCCGTCGTCACTCACCACCGGCGACAACATGGCCGGCATGATCTCCCGAAGTCCACCCTCTCTCCCTTTGTTTTGTTTTTCCTGGTCACCATCTCCTCATATCGTCCACCCTCTCTCGGAGCCCTGATCTCAACCCACCAACGTGATTCTCCATCCCCAGCTTTCATCTCCCTTGCTTAGCATCTCAAAAATAAAATAAACAATGGGTTGAGTTTTGGAACCAAATCATTTTATGGTCTCTCTCTTCAAGTTCATTATTTAAATGGATATGGAAGTCGAGAAAAAGAAAGATAAATTATAATTCATAAATGGGGAGGAGGGGAGGCAAGGAGAAAGGCAAAAATCACACTTTTATTGTCAAACTCAAAACAGGAGCGAATTGGTTTTTACACTCCGCTGTACACACTTTTCCCATCCTCTCATAGCAATACAACCTAAGTACGCATATGCAAGCCCCCTAATTTTCTCTACCAAAATCAATTCCGAACCCCGGTCAAACGAAAAAAAGATTTCGATTTTTGAATAATAAATTGAAAACTGACTGACCAAATGCAAAGCTCACAACAAACCCGTCACCACAAAGAATACCAAGAACTAACTAACCAAAATGCAAACCTAGACATTCACACCAACTCAAAATGCCGACGAGGGGAAACACAGAAGAAAAAAATCGTTTGTTTCTGTCCAATCATGAAAACTAGCTTCTTTGGAGCAGCTAAAAATGCACTGATGCTGTCCCTTTCCCTCCTGAGAAATTGTGTTCCCCCACTGTAGGAAGAAAGAAAGCAAAATGTTAATCAGAATGCTTCCTTGGTTAGAATTAAACGAAAATCAAACTGTAGTTTTTGTAAGGAAAGATTATGTACAGTTGGTGGGCAAGCATTCCGACGCATGCAACATAAACTGCAGCAAGCTGAAGAAAATGAAGAGTACGAAGATATTCAAAACAATTGAAGGGCCATTTTAAGCTTGTTCTGTTTCCACTTGGGAAACTTATGGAAAGCATCCTTTGCCATCCCGAAATGCTCCCTGAACTCCTCTGCTGACAAGTAAATCTGCTTGTGCCAAACACACATATATAAGGTTGGAATCGAATACGTATGCTTATGATGCTATAATCATTATATGGAATTCCAGTATGTTACCTCTCGCTTCGTCACATCAATATCTGTAACAGGATCTTGTGATGTTGTTTTAAGGCGTTCATATGGGTAAACTGGGAGGTTCTCATCTTCTGCTTCACCCTCCTTCACATCTTCCTCTATGGTGAGGGATTCTAGTTCACTGCTCACAGAATTCTCCTTGTTATTCGTTTCCTGTTGTTTTGGTTTGGGGGGCCCTGGGCTCACTGCAGCCATGGAAAAGAATGCTTCAAATTAAGTACCTCTTAAGGAACTGAGTGCTTCAATTTTTAGTGTGAAGGAGGGAGCTTAACCAATACTTACCTTTCGGCGATCTTGGTATATTAGATTCTCTTGCTGGTCCTGTTTTCTCGAAGCTAGCAGTGAGTGCTGCTATAGCTGATGATTTTGAAGCCAATTTTGATGAATCTGGAGTCACAGATTTGGGGTACAGCTTTCTGACCATTGGAGGTGGAGTTGAAAGGTTTCGTGCATTAGCATTCTCAAAAGTAGCAGCCAGTGCATTAAAAGCTGGAGATCTACCCCTCACACGAACTCGATCGGGGCTGAAAGACATGCTTCTGGAACGCTGTGATTTATCTGGTACACTAGACCTTCCACCATAAGATACTGGTGCTCTCCGTTTTGGTTTCTAGTTAAGCATCAGATAATCAGGCAATAAATAATATACGTATTAATCTGAAAACAAGATGCGACAAGTTGCATGTGTACAGTCAAAATGTAGTAGTGCCACACTTGCATTAACCACAAAGATCTCAACAATGTGCGAGTATTGATGGTTGACTAATATTATGAATACTAATC